GGGGAAGGGGAAGGGGAAGGGGAAGGGGAAGGGGAAGGGAAAGGGGAAGGGGAAGGGAAGGGAAGGGAAGAGAAGAGAAAAGAAGAGAGAAGAGAAATCATGGAAGGGGGGAGGGTTTAAGGTTTAGGATACAACTTAATGGTAGAGTGCTTGTCTAACATGCAGGAGGTCTAGCACTGAAGACCCAGGACCACAGAAGAAAAGAAACAAGAAGACAGACATTGAGAGACTGACTGATAAGAGTTATCTGTGACACAGGAGGATCCTGCACATCAAGGCCAGTATGACCTTTCCTCTCAACAATTAAACAAAAACAATGTCTTTAATGCCAATACTCAAAGGCGGAGGCAGGCAGATGTCTATGAGCTAGCTGCTGGACTGCATAATCTACCTAGAGAGTTCTAGACCAGCCTACATAGTGAGATTCTGTCCACAAAAAAGTAAAACAATAAATCTTGCTACTCAGAATATTCAACAGAAAAGCCAGGTCTGATGGCACAGGCCTTTAATCTCAGTACTCAGGAAGCAGAGACAGGTGGATCTCTGTGAGTTCAAGGCCAGCCTGGTCTACAGAGTTTAAGGCTATAGCGTGGTAACAGCCAGGGCTGTTACACAGAGAAACCCTATCTCAAAAAAACAAAACAAAGCAAAACAAGTCAAGAGAGTCTTGTTACAGGCAGAAGGAAAATACAAAGACAATGACCAAAAGTGTACTAACTACTGCAATACAGACAAAAAGTGAAGTGGCAAGGGAAAGGCAGAGAGCATCGCTCATTCTGTGGTACCAGAGGAATCGTCCAAGCTTGTCAGTGTCAAAAGTTTCTCATTGTCTAATAAACTGGTATGGCTGAAATCACTGTTTGGATTCTTGGCTTCGAGATGCTTCTTAGGATCAGGCATAGCAATCTAAAAAGAAACAATTGGTACAGGGCTACAAAAAAGACCAAGTATTTAACTTGCAGTGCAGTAAATAAATGAAAATACAGGTTAGTCAATGAAGAATGTCGTTCTCCATGAACTAGTAGCATCCCTTCTTAGCCTACTCTACTTCCCTGCTCTGACCCACCTCAAAACACAGGGCACTATCACACTGCCTCCACAGCTTACAAACCCAGTGACATGGTAAACACACCTCACAACTGAATTTGGGCAATACAAGGCTTGCTACCAGAAGTGAACACACTATGAAAGCTGGAATAAGTATCCTTAATGCAAGCAATCTTTCCTATCATTATTTAGAACTACCTATTTCTCTTCTCTCCAACCCAAGGATCAGCTAACACTAAAGGGCATGAGCAGTTTACCACAAACAGTCACAGCCCAGAATGAAAATCTAACACTTCCTTGTCTCATTTATTTCACACTAATATTAAATATATATTAAAACCAGGGATATCAGTTTAAGAGTTGACTGCAAAATGTGCCTAATTTTGAGATTAAAATCATTGCATGTCAGTGTGATTTTATATTTATACAGGACAGGCCTCAACTAGTCCAATAAATACATAAGACACAAGTTAGTGCCAGAACTTTTATTTTATTATTTTTTGAGACACGGTCTCACTATGTGGCTGGCTTGGAACTTGATAGTAGAACAAGCTTGAAGTTGTAGAGATCTGCCTCCCGCCTGCCGCCTGCCCTCCGCCTCTGGAGTGCTGGGATCAAAGGAATACACAACCACATCTAGACAGAACTATATTTGAATCTCCTCATTACTAGAAATAAACCACTCCTTTGTTTTTGAAGCAGAAGGTGATGATTAGTGTTCCAACCTGATAGAAGTTAGACTCACCTAGGAGGTAGGTCTCTGGGGTTATCTACTATAAGTACCTTGATTAATAAATTCAAAAGGGCCCACTTCCTGTAGATGGTACCACTCCCTAAGCAGGGAATCCTAGATAGTATAACTAATCCCAGCGCTCTTGAGGCAGAAGCACACAGAGGCAGGCAGAGTTCAAGACCAACCTACATAGTGAGTTCCAGGATAGCCAAGACTTCATAGAGACACCTCATCTCCAAAAACAAAATATCAACAAAAAATGTAGAGAAAGCAGTCTGAGCATCAACATGCATACATTCACTGCTCTCTGTTCCTGAGTATGGATTTGATGCTACCAGCTCACTCAAACTCCTGCTGCTGTAAATTTCCAGTTATAATGGACAGTAATGTGCAACTGTGGGCTAAAATAAAACCTTTATTCCTTTTTTTCAAAGGAGATGTTTATCACAGCAGCAGGAAGAGAAACTAAGACACAGAGTCTTCCTATATTTTCTCACCCCAGCCTCCCAAGTGATAGGAATATTGAGGAATATTGGAATATACCACCAAGCACTACTAAATTTCCATTTTTACTGTAAAAGTTCTGTTATGTACAAGCTTCTAGTTCTCTCTCTCTCTCTCTCTCTCTCTCTCTCTCTCTCTCTCTCTCTCTGTGTGTGTGTGTGTGTGTGTGTGTGTGTGTGTGTGTGTGTGTGTGTGTTTAATAAAAATGTTTACTCCAATACAACAGGGTATGTGTGTAATATAAACTTTTACTCCATTACGGCATTCCAGAAATTGATAATATATAAAAATTTACCTTGTGTTCTTGATTATTTGTCCATGATTTTAAGTGAAAATCAAGAGCTGAATCTATTAAAGAAAAAAAAAATGAAGGGATGGATTATTTTTCAACCTAATCATATTTAAAAGCAACAAATAGTCTTTAATCCCAGCACTTGGGAGGCAGAGGCAGGTGGATTTCTGAGTTCAAGGCCAGCCTGGTCTACAGAGTGAGCTCCAGGACAGCTCATGCTATACAGAGAAACCTTGTCTCGGAAAACCAAAAAATAAAATAAAATAAAATAAAATAAAATAAGATATAAAAGCAACAAATAAAAGAACTAAATATTTTTTATCTTGAAACAGAATAGATAATACCAGATGATAATACAGGAATTCATTCCTGCCCACCAGGAGTCAAAGACTTGGCCTCTCTCCAGGCCAGAGCAATGCAGCCAGCCAAACATGGACAGAGGTTACAGAAGCCATAACCTACAATAAATCCTTCCTTTCTCCAACTAAGGTTTTCCAGGAACTTGTCACAATTAAGGAGTCTGATGGGTATATATCCTAGTCTATTTTATTGTTTTAAGTTCTGTCAAACTCATTTCCAAAACAGGCCACCATTTTCTTTCTCTCTCTTCATTGTTGTTGTTTTGATTGGTTTGTTTTGGTTTTGTTTTTTTGAGACAGGGCCTCACTATGGAGTCATGACTGTTCTGGAAGCTAAGCTATATAGACTCTCTGGCTTCAAACTCAGAGATCAACCTGCCGCTGCTTCTTGCTTCCTCATGCTGGGATTAAAAGTGTGTGCTAGCATACTCAGCCACCATTTTCCATTTCCACCATCAAAGTTTGAGTTTCGGTTTCTGCAAATCTTCAACAATGTTATTTTTCCTTTTTTTGTTTTTTTGATTTTATGTGATTAGTGTTTTGTCTGTCTGTATGTCTGTTCACATGTCTGCAGTCCCCTCAGACATAAGAAGAGGTGTCGGATCTCTTTAAAGTGGAGTTACAGATGGTTGCGAGCTGCCATGTAAATAAGAGGAATCAAATCTGGGTCCCCTGGGAGAATAACAAGTGCTCTTAACCACTGAGTCATCTCTCCAGCTGCCGATTTTTATCTTTTCGATATATCTATTTTGGGTATGAAGCAATATCTCATGATTTTGACTTGCTTTTTTCTGACAATTTACACTCTGAGATACCTTTCTGTGTGTTTACTGGCCATGTGTAAAATTTCTATAGAGAACTGTCTACTCAAACCCTTTACATATTTGTCTTTTCAATATTAAAGTTCTTTATATATTTTTAATACTGGTACCTTTCTGTATATATAATTTGTAATTATATATTCTAAAAATACTTTTATATATTTTAAATAGATATGTAATTATATACAGAAAAAGTATTTTTCCATTGTTGGTTGTTTTGCCACTTTCTTGACAGCTTACAAGCGTAGCTGATAGTAATGTCTTCTATCTTCATAGATAATTGAAATTTTACATCAGGAGAAACACAAACATACCTAACAACTGTTCAAACTATAAATGTATATTTGCTCGTCAATCTTCTAACACTCAAATACAGTATTGTAAGTACTGATTTATAGCTCCAATTTATATCATTGCTATAGTAAACCAAAAGTATATAGTTTTCAATTTCTAGTTTTGAGTTCTTTCTCAAAGAGAAAGAAAAATTGGGGGAGGAGAGGAAACACAGCTGTGATGAGACATATCTGCAGTCCTGCCATTCAGGAAACTGAGGCAGGAGAGTGCTGTAAATTAGTGTGAGCCTTGGGTACACAGCAAGGTACAAAGCCAATCAGAAGTACATAGCAAAACTGTCTTCAAAAAACACAAGGGGCACCGGGCAGTGGTGGCACATGCCTTTCATCCCAGCACTTGGGAGGCAGAGGCAGGTGGATTTCTAAGTTCGAGGCCAGCCTGGTCTACAGAGTGAGTTCCAGAACAGCCAGGGCTACACAGAGAGACTCTGTCTCAAAACAAACAAACAAACAAACAAAAACAAAAACAAAAAAACAAAACAAAAAAAAAAACCACAAGGGGCACAAGCAAAGAAAAAGAGCAAGAATTTAGAGTACACACAGGAGCCACCAAGCAGGAGCATCCAGTAATTGCTGACAACACCCCACATTTTGTACCTTTCCTACTTTATATATCTACTTTAAAATAAATTTTTAAAATGAGTCACCTTTGAGTATCTTAAAAGTATAAATTTGATTGTCCAAGAAACAATAATTTATTTTAGAATCTCTAATTTATCCATTATATTAATACAAACGTAAGTTTCGACTGGTGGAAAAGTGAAGAATACTAGCAATGGACTCTGTAACAAACAGGAAGAGCTTCACCTACCAACAGCATAGTTCCCAAGGCCAAGGAAATCCATCAAGAGGGTTCTACAAAAGCCCATGACAAACCAAAACACTGTGTTTACCACGGGACAAAAGCAGAAGACACGTACCAAGCAGAGGACAGGGAAATTAAAACCATTAAAACATATACATGAAATAATTTCTAACACTTCATACCTGGAACCTGTTGCAGAGGGGAAACTCTATCCAGAAGACTCGGACCCTGAACGGATGTACTGTTAGCTTGCTTCTCTTCTGCTCTTGATCTCATGAGAGCACGGGACAAGTGTGGACTTTCTCTGTAGTTCTTTTTCCATGTAGCAGAACTTTTTAAGGGAGTAAAATCATGATAAAAATGTCAGTTACCTTTAGGTAATCTATAAAATTATTTCAGTTCTGTATTCTATCTTTCTAGAAATGCATTCTGAGGGCTGGATAAGTTGGCTCCTGTGGCACCAGATCCAGAGAGAATAATCTCACCACTACCCTGCCCCTCAAGTGGAAAAAAAAAATGTTTTTTTCTTTACCACATTAAGTATTATGCCTAGAAGACAACCCAACTTCCCTTTCTTTTCTCTCCTTCTCCCTCTCTCCTCTTTCTATTTATTTATTTATTTATTTATTTATTTATTTATTGTTGTTTTCAAAACAGAGTTTCTATATGTAGCACTGGCTGTTCTGGAACTTCCAGACCAGGCTAGAACTCAGAGACCCGCCTGCCTCTGCCTCAGACCCACCTGCCTCCTCTGCCTCCCAAGTGCGTCATAACCACCTAGCTAAAACCCTAGCTATTTCTAACAATGAGTTATACTTTCAGACACCAGAACAGTATGTTTGCCAAGACAACAAAATCTTTGAATTAATAAAGGTTTTGTAGTTGTTTTAATAGAGGGTCCCACTGGGTTCCTGGTTCCCTAGAATTTACATGAAGGCCTGGCTGGCCTGGACCATTGATATTCCTGCCTCCACCTCCCAGGTGCTGGGATTATAGTACGCCACCACAACTGGGAAATAAAGGTTTCACACTTCAAGATATGTGGCAGAAATTTCCCTACCTAATCTATTTGCAGCAGGAGACCTATGATAGAATAGGGAAAGGTGAGGTGGAGCTAAGGGAGGCAGAAGCAGGAAGGCAGGAGAGAGGAAAAAGGCAAAATGGCAGCGGACACAGACCCATGATTCAAGTAAATAGGAAGATATGAAATCTAAAGGTTAGGAATATTGGGATAACTTTCTAATCTGTGCGGGTATCTTATGTATTGAGATTTTACTGATATTCCATTGGTTAATTTTAAGCATCAAGAGTTTTGATTTACTGGGTTAGTGGAAGGTGGGTCTGCCAACAACCGGGTCACCACGGGGGCAAGCTAGAGAGAGCAGCTTGGGGAACCAGCTCCAGAGCTCGATCCTCCCACTGGAGAGTTTGTTGAGACAAAATGGGCTTAGTGCAGGAACATGGCGGATAAGCCAGGAGCCAGCCGGACGAGCTCTTTTCTAATACCTCCCTCTACAAAGTTAAGTTTTAGTTTTAGAGATTCTGGTTTTTCTTCAGTGAATACATACAGATGTATAAATTATTTCTACCTCTAAAATGAAAGATCAAAAATAATACTTGGCCAGCAAGATGAATCAGTAGATAAAGGTTATTTGCCACCAAACCTATTTCCCAGGACCAGTAACAGACTCCAGTAAGGTGTAGAAAATGTAATCAGTATCTCTTCTTTAGTTAGCAGATAATAAGCTTTGATACTTTGGTTGTCTTCCTGATAACTGCTTGTATTTTCACTTTTATCAATGACTGTTACATTTATAATCAGAAAAAAAAATTTAAAGGCTAAAAATGTAGTTAAAAGATATACATAAAGGTTTTTCTTACAGACACTAAGAAGTAATAATCAAAGACAAAGTCATACATTTTCCCCAAGTCTAAGGCGAGAACTTACTCATCATCATGAAAGCTGAGTTGTAATCTTTCTCTTGGCTCAGTGTTGTCACTCTGGCAACTGGAAGATGATACAGAAGGAACTGAAAACGTCTCTTCAATTAAGTACGATGCCTGGACATCAGGACACCTACACAAAATTATTAGGATTTAAATTAAATCTCACCTTGTTGGGCTAACAATATAGGAATTCTGGTAGAGCACTTGCCTAGCATGCATAAAACTCTGGGTTTGATCCCAACACTACATACTCTGGGTATGGTAGTACAGGCTTATTCATAATTCTATGTAGAAACAGGAAGACCAGAAATTCAAAGTAAGTTTGAGGCCAGCCTGGTCTACTTGAGACCTGTCTCAAAATTAACTAATGTCATAGGGCTAAAAAATATAATTAACCATCATCAAATAAAAACACACAGGAGCCCCAGTGTTACCATAACCCCTTTAGCCCAAAGGTAAAATTGCTATCCCTCATTGTTAGATTGGAAAGTAGTTCAATAGTGGTCAGATATTTAAGCACAATCTGAATTTACACATTGCAAAGACCACGCATGAAATCATGTGTGGACTAATATAAATAAAATGTACTAAGCCAAGCATGTACTTGGTTATAAAACTAAAATAAGAAATATAAAAAAAAATAAAATGTGCCGGGCAGTGGTGGCGCACGCCTTTAGTCCCAGCACTTGGGAGGCAGAGGCAGGTGGATTTCTGAGTTCGAGGGCAGCCTGGTCTACAGAGTGAGTCCCAGGACAGCCAGGGCTATACAGAGAAACCCTGTCTCGAAAAACCGAAAAAAAAAAATAAATAAATAAATAAAATGTGAAAAATAAAATAAAATAAAATGTGGTTTAGTTCCTAAAAAATAAGAAACTTGATGCGAGTAATTTAAAACTATTTGAATACAAGATAAGTTACTTCATAATCATACAGCAAGGGATAGGGAGGTAGATCAGGGTAAAGTGCTTATTTAACCAGCACAAGGTCCAGGGTTCAAGCTGCAGTACTATGAAAAGCAAAACAAAATCAGAAGCATTCGATAAACTCAGCTAGCAAGGAAAGGCAACCACACAAGCCTAGTGAAGCAAGGAGCAGGCTGAAATGTAAAAAGGGGAAACTGTCACACAAAAAGATGCAATGACTGCCACAATCACAGATCAACACCAAGAAACAGTTCACCAGTCTCCTTTCTCCAGCTAGAAAGCTATTCGTAGATGGACTTTCAGACATATTCTTGAACATAAACAGGAAAGCATATAAAGCCAGTAAGCTGGGAGACTAAGAGGATAACAGTTACCCAGAGAGAAGCCCTGGGAGCCAGAAACCCAACTCCTAATACATCCCATACTCTACTCTCTCAGTATATCACAGGGTTTGTAAAGTGAGTCTTACCTGTTGTCAATGCTGGGTCTGTTCTTGGCAAGTGTAGAAACAGCAATGGGCAAGCCAAAATTTGATGGAAAAGTGACATTTCCCAAAACCTCACTATTACCAAGTAGTGAATTGGCTAAAAAGCTTGGAAATGACTCTTCTGCTATTCCTCGGAAATCTTCCATCTCACTGCAACAACAGCATTTGAAAAATAGGTTGAATATTTTATTACCATAACATCTTCTAATGATTAAAAGAACAATGTTTCTTTTTTAAAAAACCAAGATTTTTGTAACATCAATAAGAAAGAATGAGCTGGGCGGTGGTGGCGCACGCCTTTAATCCCAGCACTTGGGAGGCAGAGGCAAGCGGATTTCTGAGTTCAAAGCCAGCCTGGTCTACAGTTCCAAGACAGCCAGGACTATACAGAGAAACCCTGTCTCGAAACCCTACCCCATCCCCCACCCAATAAAAAAAGAAAGAAAACAAAAGAAAGAAAGAAAGAAAGAAAGAAAGAAAGAAAGAAGAGAGAAAAGCAAAGATAGTATAAAACGAATGACTTTTAGAATAAATTTAGAAGTCTGGTATTTAGAGCTGGTGAGATGGCTCAGTGGTAGAGATGCTTGCTGTCAAGTCTGATGATCTAAGTTTAACCTCACAGAGTGGAAAGAAAGAATCAAGTCCCATACGTTGTCCTATGATATCTACAAAGGAGCTGTGGCATACATGGATACGTCTGACAATTCTAATTTCTCCTGCTATACCAGTTATCAACTTCTAATGTTTCTAATTTCAAATGCCTCTCTAGAGCTGAGACTCTACTACTACAACCCAACGCACGTTGTTCATTACATTTTAAGTCACTGAACAAGTGTTCCAACTATCCTGCCTAAGTCTAGCCTTATATGCCTGAAATCTAGGAGGCTGAGATGAAACTGCCTCTGTTTTCAGACCAGCCTGGTCTACACAGCCAGTTCCATGCCAGAAGAAAGAAGGTCTTATATTTAAAAAAAAAAAAAAAAAAAAGCTGTAATCAAACTAACTAAAAAAACAAGCCTGACAACCTAGGTTATCTCTAGAACCCACATGATGGAAGGAGAGAGCCAATTCCTACAGGTTATCCTCTGACATATATATGCACACATGTAATGATAATAAATTTCCAAAGCTAACCAAAACAAAACAAAAGCCCCACCCATGCATCCAGCACATTCCTAGAACTTTCCTAAATGAGAAACAGCACTAATTTCCCTTAGTAGTCCATTATCCACCATGTAATGTGAAGAAAATACAATGTTATTTATTAATCTACTGTATTTTAAACAAGTAACCACCTATGCAATTTCTCTTGGTGTTTTTTTTAAGAGTATAGTGGCTTCAATTCCCACATATTGGTTTACTTGTATTTAATGAATCGCATTCATGGGTACATTACTTCCTTACAGGTCTATGTATATAGTTACACACATTTAAAAAGCACATGCTGTAGAACCCAAAACACAGAGTTGCCAGCAATCATCATTTAACCATTGGCACCCTGTGATACATGTCAAAATTAGGTAGACATTCCGTATATAACTTTTCAAAACTTACCATGAAGTTCGCCCACAACGCTCAAATCTGAAGAAAAAGTTGGTTCGGTCGAAATGAAAATACCAGAAGCATGACCTCAAAAGGGTAAGTGCGAATGAATGTACTGTCCTGTATACAGCTGGCCTCCAAACGACTGTGTCAGAAGGGACCTCATGCTTAACTACACAAAGTCTGAAAGCAAAAAGGAAGGGGGCAGTAAAAAACAGTCTTTCGTTTTGCATTAGCTGTTAGGAGAAAGTGTGCAAACACCAGTTGACATAAGAGCCCTCCCCTCAGAGCGAACAAAAACATTACTTCATGAGGCAGGGTCAGTCAAAAGGACAGGACCGCCCATCAAAATACAGTAAAGCAGTCGCCAGAGCACTTTGCAAGAAGACAACACCGCAAAGCTCAGAGGCCATCGGTGCGTCCCTCAGAAGTGAGCAACCACCAGCCGAACGGGAGGAAACGCGGATGCGGCCGCTCCAAAGCCGAGGCAGGGAGCCTGGGCCACACGCGGGCGCCTGATCTCACACAACAGCCCAGCCTCCAGCCCGTGTCCCCACCGGGCCGGGCGGTCACCGCAGACGCCTAGAAGCCGCAGCCTTGCCCTCTCCCTCAAGTCCACCGCATCGACGACCCTCCTCACCAGACCAGGACCCCGACTCCGTCAGCCACGAGCGGTAGGAAAACGTCCGCTAAAGGGGAGGATCCGCGGCGCTACAGTGCGCATGCGCGCGCCCCGGAGGCCCGCGAGGACTCTCCCGTAGGAAGCGAGGGCGTGGTCTCTGAACCCGCTCGGGATTGGGCTAGACTCAGGGAAGGGGCGGGCAGAAGCCTGTGATTGGTAAGGAGCGCGCGTTCCTCGGTTTGAAGGCCCGAAGCCGCGCTGCTTAGACGGGAGAGATCTTTCCGTAGGCGCCGCTTTGAAAGCCTTGAAATTAATTCCTCAGTTTGAGAGCTCCCCAAAGATCCGTAAGTCGCCTTTCCCCACTAGGTTTTTTTTTTTTTTTTTGTTGTTGTTGTTGTTGTTTAATTTTCATATCGCCGCTTAGTAGACTCATAAACTTCATGGTTTGCTTTTAATAAATCATTCCTTGGGTTACACACGTCAGGAAAGTTAGCTACACCTAATCACTGTCCAGCGGAGTCTATGCGTTCCTTCGTGTCATTCAGGCTGTATCCCTGGGTTCCCAACTATCCACAATCCTCAAGTCATTAGAACTTAACCCTAAAACACTCAGCAACCTGTTGATTCTCCAGTGACAGAGATGAACCGAAATACATGCAGGTAGGGAAGCCTGAACTCTTAAGGCTAGACTACCCAGATATAAACCGAGTCTTCCTCCCTGGTCTTGGTCATGTGCCCTCATTTGTAAAATGGGGATAACTGGAGCCTTGGATGGTTCAATTCACACACCTGGGAAAGCACTCGCACCGGAAGCCCAGGGTACTCCTACTCAACAGAGGGGAGCTCCTAATGTCTTCCTTACCTTACATGCCAGCTAGAAAGACTAAAATTCCCAATGTACTCTGCAAATCTTTTTAGAGCTTAAGAGCCCCTAGAGGCCCTACAACCAGTGGTGCCTTCCAAAGAAACAAGTGATGCCGATTCAAACCAGTAAATGAAAACAGAGCAGCTCCAGTTCCAAATGCTTTCGTGGAATGTCTCAGCCCGTATCCAATCCGTTACAGGATATGAATTCAGAGTAATCTCAATTGATTAAATATCATGTGTAGTGAAAATTATGGTTTCTTTTAAAACCTAGGTATGTGAATATGTCTTTGTTTTAATCCCGGGTGTGGGATAAGAAGCTGCATCACGGGGCTGTGATGTATGCTAGCTGCAGATAGTTTAATTCTCGGGACTCTGGAGGCTGCTGCCCCTGGCTGCTGGTGTGGTTTGGCAAGTGTTTGTAAGCAAAGAGATGAGAAGCAGGAAATGCAAAGATTGGACTGCCCCCCCCCCCCCGCCCAACCCAATGCCCCAGTCAGCAGGATGTAGTCAAGAGGTCTACATCCCCTTTCTCTTCTAATCTTTCTCTCCTACCTAGTGTCTGGGGTTGGAAGGGAGGTAGAGGTATACTAACCCAATAAAATAGCTTTAAAAAAAAAAATCAACCAACAATCATGTTCCCTGAAAACAGCCGTCTCCACCTTAACTGTTCAACTCATGAAAACGCCATATTCCTTCCACATTCTGCCAGCTAAGGCAAGTCGGTGGCTTTTATACCTATTGGGCAATCTTGACTATAAAGCAGAGGCCCTGTTATTCACTATACTACACAAGTGTTTTCTCACACTAAAATGCATCTGCGGACTGATTACTTTTTATTTTTCACATATCCTCTAGCATATGCCATTAGTATACTGGACATGCTAGCTAAGAAATACTACATTAAGTTGGAGAATGGTCTCAAAGTCTCACTCTAATAGAGCCACTGAAATCTCGAAGACATAAACTGAAAATTCTAAGAATTATCACAGCATCCCAAGTGCTGGAATTACAGACATACACCACCACCATTTCTGGCTTATTTGACATTAAACACAACTCAAATATTCCTTTTATTTGAATATTAAAATAAGATCTGTTCTATCTAATCTTTATCCTCTAGCTAAGATGTTCTACAAATAGGTTGTAACAGGGGCTTGAGAGATGGCTCAACAGTTAAGAGTACTGACTGTTCTTCCAGAGGTCCTGAGTTCAATTCCTAGCAACCACATGGAGGCTCACAAACATCTGTAATGGGATCCAGTGCTCTCTTCTGATGTATCTGAAGACAGCAACAGTGTACTCATACATACAATAAATAAATATTAAAAACAAAAAGTTATAACAATGTCACCAATATTAAAAATCTACATGCACATATGAAATGCTTTTTTTTAACATCTCTTTGGGCTGGAGAGACAACTCAGTGTTTAAAAGTGCTTGCTACTCTAGCTGAGAACTCAAATTAGGTTCACAGCACCACTGTCCAACAGCTCACAAATGTCTAACTCTTCCAGCTCCAGGAAATCTGGCACTCTCTTCTGGACTCCAAGAGCACCTGCATACACTCCTACATGTACCCACACATAAACATAATTAAAAAACAACTATTAGAAAAGATAATAATCTCAACACTAAGGAAGTGGAGGCAGGCAAATCAAATCTCTGAGTTCAAGAACCAGCCTGGTGTACATAGTGAATTCCAAGACCAAGGCTATGTAAAAGCCTGCCTCAAAGTAAAACTGAAGACACTTGTCAGTTCTGAATGTTAATTTGCATGTTGACATTCTATCTTTAATGACATTTTTATTTTGTGTGTCTGTGTGTAAACTCACTCTCAATATGGTGTTTGTGTGGAGTCAGAGAACTACCTGCAGGAGTTGGTTCTCCCCTACTACATGTGTTTCTGGAGTGAACTCAGGTGGTCAGGTTTGATGGCAGGCATCTTTGCCACTGAGCCATCTCACCTGTATCTTTAAGTGTAACACTTGCTTGTCCCCTGGGGGTGGTTCTGGTTTGTTTTTTAAGCTTTTTCTATTTTTCTCTCTCTTTTTTTTTTTTTTTTTGTTGTTGTTTTGTGACATGGGAAAAGGATACTAAGCCTAAATTATCTTAAAGTGCATCCATTTTAGCCAGGTATGGGTACAAGCCTGTAATCCCAGGGAGGCAGAGGTATGTTATGTGAGAAGCTTGAGATCATGCTAGGCTACATAATCAGTTCCGGGTCAGCCTTTACAGACTCTCAAAACACAAAACCCAAGTACATGTGTTTTCTTTTTATAAGACAACAGATTCACACCTTTTAAAATATTTTTATTAAATAACCTACTTGGAGAATAATTACAAAATTAAGTAGTAATTCCAAGTAGTGAAAGGCATTTTCCTTAAAAAAAAAAAAAAAGACAAAAATATCCTTATGATTTGCTGCTTTATACACAGGAATGATTTATTTTACAGTCATTTGTAATATCTATAAAATTCAAAACATTTCTTAATGTCTGAAATACAGAGTGAAGTTCACAATGATATGCTTTCCTATGAAGCTACCTATCAACAGACAAAACTGAACTCTATGATAACAATTCCACACAGAATTTACAAGACAGGCACTTTGAATCAGATACTGGCAATCTTTCACAGTTAATACTGCTTTTTTGAAGCTCATCAAAGGTAACCAACTAGTGAAGCCAAGGATTCCTGGCGCAGAAGTACAAACACAGGTTTGGTTTCAAACACTTGAGTTGTGATACATGCAAGACATGCCCTAAATAAGAAGGATCTTCTAAAGGAAAATGAAGAAACCAAAAAGCAGCCCAGAATAAAAGCATTTACAAGCATCTGGATAATAAGGCCTTTAAGTCAGTGTTTTACACCCCTTCATTCTCAGGTAAGGGATTAAGAGGCCGAGAGAGGTATCCTCTGCGAGGGTGAGGATATTGGAGGTTGGCAGTGTCAGCATCGCAAGAGTGCTCTAGCAGAGGAGCAGGAGGAGGAAGGAGCTGGGCACAACTGGACCATCTTGATCCAGCCCGTGGGGAATCCAGAGGGGGAAAGAAATACCTGAAATAATGAAGACAGGAACAAAACACCAAAACAAAAACAACAGGGGGGAAAAGAGGGAGGGAAACAGAAGAAAAAGAGAAAAGCAGTAAATACAAAGAGAACCAAAGAAGAGAAAACATGCTGGAAGGAAGGAAAAAAAAAAGCTTGTCTATTCATGCCACAACCAATAGAACAGTACAAATCAAGATTCTCACTTGAATCAAGGTTGCTTATGAAGTCTAGAAGTTTGAAAAAAATACAATGTTAAAATGTCCCCCAAAATTATCAGTATGTATGTTACAGAGACATTCATTTTATAAATTTAAAGCCTTATCTAATCTCATCTGATTCTTTAATTTCCACAGCTGCTCTTCACTTTCAGCAATGCTGCATGTACTGTGGCAGCAGGCACACATTTTCAGTGCATACATGATACTGAGAACCATCCAATACACTACTGCCACATGCTTTTGAAAAATACAATCATTGGACAGTCTGAGTTTCCTGCAAAAAACTTAGAATAGCTACAAAATTTTGGTGCATAAAAAGACACAAAGAATTATAGCCTGTTAGTCTATCATCTTATAACTTACCCGTAATATATATGCAGTTTAGTAAATGAAAAGGTGTATACCTTTGTCATCAAAGTCAAAAGTTTCAGAAGGCAGAAAATCATTGAAACAACACATTAAAAATCCTGAGACATGGAATTTCAATTGCATGCACATTTTCTGAAAAATGTCAACTCATGTTTCCAAATTGTCTTAAAGGAAACCAAGTCGTATAGGATCACTCGATAAACATTCATGCATATATTAGAAACAGCCATCTCTTTAATGGGTATGAGATGAAAGCTTAGAAGTGCTTCCACCATTCTACTATCAAATAAAAACTAGCAAATGCTAATGTGCTGCTTGGCTACAAACCATTTTATCTCAACTGTGGTGCCAGATTAATGATCTGTTCCTTTACTGGTATTTTTAATTACAAGTATAAGTAGTTGTGTGGAAAATACCACCTGTAAAGTAGTTGTGTGGAAAA